CAATTTCTACCATATCTAAGTCTCAAACGAGCCAAAATAGGAAAAGCAGCGTATATTTTCGACATGCTACAACTACTCCTTGAAAGTAATTTCTGTCCAGTGACTCAAACCAGTTAGACTGAATTGTAACAATAGTATAAGAGAGGAAATCATATTTCAAGAAGACAGTCAAGCTGGAATAAAGCATATAAACTGTATATAAAATGTGCCTTCCTTGAATTCATTTCCATTTGTACAAAGATTTTGGAATGCCCAGATTGGTTTGGAACGTTAATGATCTAAGAAAGTGGCAAGATAGCTAGTTTTAAAAAGTTCTGGCTAGTGAATGCGCAAAATGTATTGCTTCAAAAGAGCGCGCGCATTATCTTGTGTGATCAAGATATATACAAATTCCAATTAACTTATTGGGAATGTACCACGTCCACGATTCAACTTTGGAAATGATCATGCAGACAATGGACTCCGGACTAGGTGCGTCCTCTAAGTCTTCCTACCAATATGACCATGTTGCGAAAACCTCTATACGACGAAAGGAGACTGCGACCACAGAAAAGGCCCCACCATCTTGGTCTTCATACCTACAAGATACTTATTCCCTGATATCCTATTATAAACTGACATATACTGAGGTTAGAGCTAAATGCAAACAACTTGGCAAGCACAGATTCCATAATAAAAATATATAAGCGCAATAAGGTAACAATAAGGGTACAAAACAAAATTTAGCGAACAAAATATTCAATTATAAGCATTGCGGCAAAATGAAATCAATATAGTAGTCCACACCAGAAACAACCCCGGGAAGAATGTAGTACCAATAAGGTAAAATTAAAAGTAGGAAGAGTGAGAATAAACATATAGAGCTATTTTTTTAATAAAAGTGCATGATGAAGAGACCTTTTTATTTATCTCACCGAAAGACAACAACCGATTCCCATCCTTCTGCAGCCGTTTGGCTTTAATATAACGTTCAGTTTGATGTAGTCCACAAGACATTCTCCCTCGATTCGGGTGAGACCAGGCTAAACTTTCATTCATTGTATGATGAACATCAACAGGGCTGAAATTCATTCATGTGAAAGTCTCAAGTTGGTCAACAGGAGTCTGCCATCGTCTTCCGATGAGGTCAACTAACAAATCTTTTCATCAGCAGCAATTTTTTGAACAAATTTATATTCGGAAAATTTTTATATAAGATAGTGTATTTCTAAGAATTCTCCTAAGAAAATCGCTGTGGCGATTTTTGCTTCAAATGAAGCTGTAGGTTGAAGAGGTTCATAGTTAGATCACTCTAGGAACTATGGCTGATTCCTATTGTTCTGCGATCTTTTGATATTGCCATGACTTTCATGTTGGCACTGTCAATGAGATATCCTCCTTCGGTTCAGATGTAAACGAACCGAGCCTTCGTCTGTCATGACATTAGGTAGGTATAGTCAGAACTAGATAGCGTTCTTACGAAAAAATTAAGGCCAGCAACAAATCATCAACGTGGATACGAAGACCAAGAGAGTGCATGTAATCTACTTTAACTATCTAGAGTTGGTGTGACAAGGAGATCTTGTAGTACTTAGCCAGTACTGCCCTATTAGACATGACAATTTTTAGTATTAGGCTATTGACTTGGAACATCCCCAGAAGTTTCGTAAACAACAAAGTCGTCTCTGTAAGCACAACGTGTCAGAGATAAAAGTGGAGACAATCTTCCAGACCGGTTTTCCGTTCACAAATTTTGGCACCTATCCTCCTCCCCTTGTCATATCTCCAAGAGATGCATCTTCATAACGCTGCCACATAATAAAATTAGCCTTCAATATCATATTGACACTTTTGGAGTCAGTAATAATTCTTTCATAAAGTTTCTCTCAAAATTTGTCATGCAATTAACGGCGAAAATAAGGGCTAATCAAGGTCTTGTGTCTTCTCATAAAGATTAACGTCAGACATTAAACAAATATTATTCACTGATATGTCAAGAAAGCGTAACTGAATAAATACAATATTCAGATACCTTCCTTAATTGTCTGCGCAAGAAGGCGAGATCTCATGCACCCAATTTCCTTTGTTATTCAAGTCTAATCTAAGATGAATCCCCTCTTTTAGTTAACATATCTTGTGAATACAATAAACCAGGCGTTTCCAAGCATGTTTTTGCAGCAAATAGCTTATTTTCACTCAATTTAATATGCGCATACCTTCAAGGCATCATTAAGCCTAAGTTAAGGTTTCACATGTGAATATTTCGTTGTTTTATAAGCGTCAATCTCAGTCAAATGGATTAATCTATTTTTCGGTAACTTAGCTTATAAGTGACAACTTCTACTGCACCATGTTATGAGTTCATAACTAACCGATGATTAGGGAATAGATATGTGGAAATCCTTATCAGATTAGACGTCAGTAGGCTTCTCAATTTTTTTCAAAAAAGACAACCAATTATGCCGATGTTCGTTTAGTAGTTTAATGGAACCGGAGTAGCAAATCTCGTTACTATGCCTAGCTTAATAGCATTGTAATATCAAACGATGGCTGATAAACCTATATTTACTGATGTATTCTGGTATGATTTAACCACGAATATCTTAATCAGCATTTTTTATCGATGCCTACGCCAGTAATCAAGTAAAAGTGTTTACATTCTCATTAGTCTATCTTCGAGCTCACTTTCTTTTGCCAATGTATGATTATGAACACGGACACAGAAATATATTCAAATAAGCCAAAATAGAGACTTACCTTTTCCTGAATTGTGTTAGCTTGTACGGCCAGATCTTCGGCCTGCCTGTTAATGGCATGAAGTCGAGCGGCTGCTTCCAGAGTGGCTCTGTAACACGCTAGTCCATCAGCTAGTCGTGACCAGCGAGACATTAGTGCACTGGTACGTGACTGCACATACGCACAGGCAGTCCGTTGATTCACAGCTAGAATATCAAAATTGACTTCAGAATGAGCCCTGTTGGCAGCAGTGGCCGATGCTGCTGATGCATTTAAATTGGCAGCGACGCGATCTGATAAATCTCGGAAAGCCTGCATACTGGTTGTGTTCACCTTAGGACGAGAGAAAGGTACAAATAATATAGGTTTGCATGACGGCAAGAAAAAGTAAAGACTATGTATTACGTTGAGCGCAAGAGGACTTAGAACTTATGCATATTACCATAAAATTGTTAAACTATTCTGATCATTCTACATAAATTTATTAAAAATAAAAAAAAGCGATTACGAATTATTATCTTTTGACATATTTAAGGAAGATTTCTCAAATCCATCTGACTGATCATAGAAATCGAATATAACCAATTTATTAATCAGATTGATGTACGAGTAAATTTTCAACCTTGAAGAAAATAGAGATCTAAAAAATTAAGTCGCTCACTGATAAAAGAGACTTATTTCTATGACCAAGTGTGTAGTATATACATATGCAAAAACCTGAGATTTCGGAAGGACTACCCTAAATTAACTTAAAATAGAAATAAAATGTGGGCAGATAGCAGATTTCGTAGTAATAGGGATTCAAAATTAACTATTGGCAGGAGTTTATTCATTTTACTATTTTACCTATAAATATGAATAGCTAAGGCAGCAAAGACCTAGATAAAATAGATATGCATAAAGTAATAATAGCTTAGAGCAGACTAATGGTTTTTGACGAAAAATGACTAACTTGTTTGCCCGAAACCGGCTGATTCAACTTCTCCAGCAAGTCGCAGCAGTGATCCACATCATGGCCAATGCGGTTAGCGGACACAAGCAACTCTTTTTCACGAAGCCAAACCTCCAAAGCATCGGCCTAGTAAAGAATAGATGAAGAAACAGATTGCACTATAATTAAAAGCAAATGGATAAGAAGTAATGGCATCAAAGAAAAAGGAGTTGGAATCTGGAAAATAGGAATAAAGCGGATAATCAATTGTAGTTTCATATAAATTAGCAGAAGTGGAAAAACATGGCTAGGAAATTCCTGGTGCCTAGATAAGTAAAACGGTAATATATGTAAGAGGCTAGCAAGTCTGCCAGATTAACCAAGGACATTTAGGGGCTCAAATGGAATGTCTTGTAACCTTAATACATAGGTGGAAAGAAATTGCATGGATGTCCAACATATGGTGAGCATGCTGTGATTAAAGCTGTTATCCATACTAGAAAGATGACACTTAGTGTCTGTCAAAAAACGGTAATTAAAAGCAAGATAGTTTCAATTTTCATATTTTTATAAAGCCAAAATTAGTGAAAAACAATAGCTCTTGTATCACTAAATTTATGAGGCAAAATTAGAAAAGATATGTTTAAACCAGGCCTTGTAGAATACTTAGAAGACATTAACGGGGCATACAGAGGCATTAAGCACATCACAATTAGATATATAGATGAGGAGCCGGCTCCAAAGTTCATAAAGAGCTACCGATGAGATATATCGTATTTGATATAATATTAACATAAAATATTATTTTTCAAATCAATTCTATACTCGCCAGTGTTCTTTTTAGAGAGGACTGGGAAATCCTATTCAGAACATAAGGACAAAGGTAGAAAATAACTTTAGCAGTGGACGCTGGGGACGGAAATAGTAAGCATAAATTATATTCGAAATGAGTAAGTTTTCGAGAATATAAGTAAATCGTGA